ACAACGGCACGTACCGCTAAGGGTTGTGAGGAAAGTGAAATGTGATGGTAGCTGTTTTCGAAAAGACCAGAACCGCCGATCACTCGTAAGACGTAACACTGTGCTCATATCATCTCATATCGCTTCTGTTCCCATGGGATCTCTTCCTTCGGAGGAGATCGCTCTTAGATTCATATGTGTGATGCGGTTCCCCGAAAATTCATGGGGTCATTGTCGCCTGGGTGGCTGTAATCGGGGACAAATCGCGTGTTGGCCATCGCGCTTCTTTGACGGAGTAACGCGTCGTTATCAGTGCTGATCGCTTGTTTTGCTGATTCAGATTGCATGGAAACGAGTCGCTTATCACGAATTCACCGCTCGTTTTCTAATAGACTGCGTCTCGTTTCGCACGAGTCCACACACGTCTCTCATCGAGCGAACACCGTCCGCTTGACACCGCCATTTCGTTTTTCCTTCCGGGTAAAGGAAAACCCTTCGCGAGTCGAAGAGAAGTAATCGCAAGCAGCCTCTCCCGTTTGGACCCGGAAAAAAAGCAGAAAGCTTTGAAACCCTTGGGTTCTAGCACCAGAGATGAGAAATATTGTGCATTCTGAACTGAATGAACGGGTTCCTGTTTCGCTCTGAATACTAGTCCATTGATGACCTTATTTTTATCAATGACCAATAGCTGTGAAGAAATCTGTAGCTACAGCACATTAATCACGAATTGTGCACAAAATTGTCGAAATCTCTCAGTGCTTCTCTTAGTAACAAGTGACAAGGATAGATGGGACTTTTATTTGATGCCCTGTATTACAGGGCTGTTCGCTAAGGGTACTTGAACGGGTTTTCTGAATTCCAGCAGTGGAAGTTTTTGGGAAATTCACATTTGATCCACAGAAGTTGCGAATGAGAGATTCACTTTTGCTTATCCGAATCCAGCAGCAGGATTTTATCCAAAACTGTCAGAATGCGGTCAAATCTCCGCGCTGGTTGTCAGTTCGTGGATCTGTGATATGTGCCAGAAAACGTGATTTTGTTAGCCGAGAATGCCTCATTTCTCACCCCCTACTAACCACTGAGATGTCCTCCGCAGTCGACAGTTCCGTTCAAGTGCGAGCAATCTTACATCTGTTTAAATCCGAAGAGGGCAACCATCTCTGCAACAACGAAAGGTAAGCTAAGAGCAGCAGTTAACATTCTGCTGAGCAACCAACCGTTCTTCCTTGAAAGTAAAAGTGAAACTGAATGGCTTTCGTCAGTTGTGCCTTGCTTTGCCGCTGCGGAATTTGTCAATAATTTTTACATCACAACACGGGCGCGAAGACATTATGCATTCAGATAGAGCAAGGCTCGGTTGTTTTTGGCGAGTGCTGCGAGGAGCGAGGCAGCTTCGCAGCCGACCAAACGGCTGAGCCGGTCCGCTCACACCTATTAACTACAAGCGATGTACAAGCCTATTCTCCATCACATTCGTAGGCCTTATTCACTGTTCGTTAGGTGCTTTCTGTTTTCATCTGGTTGCATTATGTCGATTGGTGTTGATGGCCGATCACATGTGTGAGAGGGTGCGTGGCTGTTGAAGAGAGCGGCGAAAACCGGGAGAGATGGCGCCTAGTCGAGTACTTTACTACCCCTTCCCCATCTCCCACCTGGAAACGCCGTCGACCGCTAACCAGCCGGCTGTCAATACGTCAATACTGCAAACTCTGAGGGCCATGCTACCATATCTGGAGATTGAACCACGATCTAAAAGGTTCGTCGTTCCTTTCGCTTAATTGCTGCATCGTGCATTTCACAGCTCCGCCCCGTTCACATATTTGATTTGTTATCTCCAGCACCAAATCAGCAATTTCTTGAATCCGCCCAGAGGGTCATGCTTCCTTCCAGCCTTTCAGTCTCGAAAGATGACAGGCCTCTTTTCACTCTGGTCTGTATGTTTATTTTAAATGCGTGTGGTATGCTGTCGCGTTGGAGCCCTGACACGACACACGCCAGCTCAAGCGGCTGGCTGCATCTGTTAAACTTCCTCTTTCTCTCGGCCTGGGTGACGGGAGACATTTGTTTCATGGCGTCATCTTTCGTATATGGTACCTCCCCCCCAGACGGAAGTACTTACCGCCCAGTGCCCACCCCGACTAGGAATGACGCTGTGACATTCCCAATACGACGGCTACGCACGTCAAAACAATATGGGAGCTAGACATCATTTGAGACGATCGTGTTTTTCCTATGCGCTGCACATCCAGTTCGACGACGACAAGGCGGTACCGAACCGCGCGTTCGTGCGTTCGTCTCGAAATCGCCGCTTTCGGCTGCTTGAAAGCCGGCGCGGCGCAGTGCTGTTCAGCTCGGGGCCGCCGCCCACGTCGCGACCGGTTCTCTTCCCTTCCTCTCGAACTCGCCCGATACCATTGAACATAACCGCTTGTTTTTGGTTTCTCTCGCGTTCTATTTGAAACGAAATCGTTCTGCTCCAAATCTCAGTCGGCCGCCTTGAAGACGGTGACATTCTCAGCGAAGATTGCCTTAGGGAAAGGTCGGTCCAGTATCGATGAACAACATGAGTTTGTGATGACGTCAAGCGGCGCTCTTTGTTCTGCTGTGCGCCCGTCACTGCTCTCCTGTCACTACGCAAAGCGGGCGAGAGAGAGGGAAAGGAGAGGAATGTGGTGCTGACGATTACTCCTACGCAGTATCTACTACTATGTTGATGTTAGCCGACTGCGAACGGAAGTCCGTCACCAAACTGTGCCAAAGAACGTCCACAGGCAACCATCGCGAACGCAAAGTGATTAGTGTGGAAGATTCATGGAACACATGCATGTGTGTGCACCCCAAACAAGGTCGAAACCAGTTCCCATCACATGGTCGTTCTGCCTGTCTCCCTCACAAGTTCCCCGTAAACACTACTGAATCCAGAATGGAGATAAGCAGGTTATGCCAGAGGTTACTGGTTGGTTGCAGCTGCCGGCAGAAGGCACGCACCCATGCAGTTGTTGTTCGTGACTTGTCGTGACGAATTTTGAGGAGATGCTGTCGGTCGATTCGTGTTTTGCAGGCAAAACAAGTTCGAGGCCAGACTTTTGCCCCAGTCGTCTGGGCTACCACCACCACCCTCCTCTCATCGCTCCCCGAATTCCCACTTGAGTGGTCCACAATTGGACCAACCCCGAACCGGCAATTTCATTGCCCTGATTGGTCATTGTTCCCTCGCTGGGTCTTCGCTCGCTCCACCAAATATTCGCTCTCCAAAACTATTAACTCCTCTGCAATAGAAAATACCGGTCCATCTAGTAAACTTTTCAACGAGTTTTTTTCAAGCATGGAGAAAAACTCAGCTATATGTGCTACCTGCATAGGAGATTAAATTCGTAATCTGACACATGTGAGTGATGCCCGAATCGCTCTAGCGTTTTGCAATTTCTCCCGGGCCCCCCAGGAAGTATCGATTGGTGAGGAAATCGATAGAAAACTCTGACGCGCTCTTTCTCTCCCTGGTAATTACCTTCACACTTGCTTGCTAGCATGTTTTCCTTGACACTAACAGTGTACCCGTAACTGTACTATACTGAGAGACTGGTCGATAGCCAATTAACACACGGCGATTGACTGATCGATCGATCCCATTTGAACCTCTTTCCAGTGAGGAGGTGCAAGTGGATGAGACATGAGCGTTCCGAATTTCTATTTGCGACCACCAGCGATCGTTCGCCCGGCTGTCATTACTGTCGAGTGTCTCGAGTTTCTGTTCATCGTTTTCTGCTTACTCAAGTAGAGGAGTCGACTTGTCGAAGATGATCGATCGTGTGAAATGCCTCGATACACATAGAGCGAAAATCGAAATTGTGTGTGTATGCAGGCCGGCAGACCTGCAGGGCCTTTCCCCGAATCACACTCACACTCCGTCCAGTCAGTCATTTGGCAGGTATCCTAGCTACCGCTCCTCCTAGGATAAGCAGTCGCGTTTGGTTCGAGTTTCGCTCCTGAAGCAAAACCACCTCAGTCATATTACCTCTACGTACCACTGAGTTCTCGTGCCAGACGTTCAGCAACGATGGCGTCAGCCTTCGAACTCCGGCTCCAGACTGATGTAGTGCTCTCCCCGGCTCGCAGCAGCACTCCTTCATCGTCAGAGCGCCAGTGACGGTGAAGAAACGCCATCGTCAAGCGCTCTCCGTCAATCGAAATGCTCTTCGGCCGGGTCCGCTCGCCATCTGCTCTCTGTCGTTCTCGCGTTCTTCCGCGCTGAACGCTTTCTTTCTCTCCCGGTCTCTCAACATTGCGTACGAAATCGTTCAGAAGGCGGCGCGACGTGCAATCTGCTACTCTGCTCGCTCTCTCAGCCTCATCACACTCTTGCCCGCCGCTATCGTACCACTTCTCTCCCACCGTCCTCAGCCCCACGCTCTCTGCTGTTCCTCCTCGTCATCTGACGCCTTTTTACAAACCTCCTCAGTGGGCACGCTGTTTCGCTACAGCCGCCAGCATTGGTGTTATTCTGTCAGGAGTTGTTTACTTTCTGCACAGCAGTCGTTCCACAATCGATGTGTGTAGGCTCATGAACGTTGTATTGGCCCCAACTGAAAGTGACTCTGTCCTCATCATGGCCCCATAAGATGATGTGTGTGCTGCGTGAATAGGTATCGAGCGATCGCCCTCCATCTATGGACGAATCTAGTCCGGTTGCGGCGCCACGCGTCTAGCCGGCAACCAGCAGTCACGTGCGCGAATTCGTCGGGTCCGTGGCTGCTTCTATCCTCCGCTGCTTCGCCCTTCGCTCTCCTCGCTCTCATTCATTCATGACTCCCGTTGTTTCCCTCTCACACTTCCAGACTCAGTCCCTTCTACCAAAACAACACCATCCATTCCTGTGTACGAATAGAGCGCTACGGCCAAGTGGCAGCATTTGCTTTCTGCCATGCCTACATTCGTTCTTCCATAAATTAGTTTCCGAGCTCATATTTGTTGAAGGCTGACATCCCATGCTTTAATAATATTTATTTTTCAGAGAAGTCGATATGAGTGAGGCGGAGTCGCTGGGCAGTAGCAGCGGCTCAGATGAGATCGCGTTCTCGCAACTGCTCGCGTCAGTGGCACGCCCAATTCCGCAGCCCTTCGCGTCGTCGCCATGGGGCTCAGGTAAGCGTTTCCCCCATGACTTGAGCCAAAATTTGGCTCCTGCGTGGGCCCCGGGAGAGCACTCGCCGAGAAGCGACTGTAAAGATGAGTGAGCTTTCATAGGCTGCTTTCTTCTAATTTGCTGCGTTCACAGAGGCATCTAATATCGCTGTGCGTGGAAGTGTTTGCTGCAAGTGGAAAACATTCGCCAACCAGTTGGCAGCAAAGCAACTTCTCTGATCTATCATTTGGGAGGGGAGGAAGATATTCCATCGCATCACCACGTCAGCTGAAGAACTGGATCGCTGATCGCCGGCCCGACAAAGATATCGCCGCCAGCCATTCTTACAAATACTAAACGTGCTTTCGGCGGTTCCCACGTGCATACCGCGTTTCTTATCTTCCTCCTTCATTTTTTCTCCTTCCACATGAGAAAGTCTGTCAGGCGTTCTCAATAACATCGTTTTTTGAACGTCACAAACCAGTTTGAAGTCAGGCAGTCGGTAAGATGGCCGTGACCGAACGAACTTTTTGTTATAATATTAGAGAACAGTTTCGAAACGTGGAATAAATCGAAGTGATAAAGGTCGGTTCCAGAAGTACTTGTACATACAGGTATTAAAAGAGAAGGCTGAATAATGTAAAGAGATTCTTCAGAAACACGTAGCCGCTCTATCAATGGCCTTCTAGGCTTAGCTGTGAAAAAAATTGTTTGGCATCATGGAGAGACATTTGGGAACATGCATAACAAGCTATTTTGGGAACTGAGTTTTGAAATTTTCGATCTCCAACTAAAAGGTCACGCGCAGGCAGTGCTACGGTCAGCAGTGGACAGATTGCTTTGTTATAAAAAGTTGGAAAACAAAGGCTGCTGGGAGATTATTCCGTTTTCGTCTCTAACTCGAAGGTCGGATATCATAATTCTATTTCTTTGTCTTTTTTTGAGTTCATATGCTTTGAAAAAAAAATAAATGAATCAAAAATCTGGAACACTTCTCATGTTTTTAACGAACGGACAGAATCAGGAATGAAGAAATGAGATTGTGATCGAACATTTGTTTCGAACGGAGGCGAAAAAATGTTCATTGGCTCGTCCATGGCTGATCCATGGCATGGTTCCCTGGGGACTCCATCATTCAACGAAGAAGAAACCATTATTCAAAATCATACGCCGCTGCCCGATTTTTCTCCTTCAGACGCGCTTTGTGTAAATTTGCTGATTCCCAAGCCTTTCAGCGTTAATCAGATCCAGTCAGTGGTAGTGATATGTCTGGTCGGTTTCAAAAGAACTCGAATAGACAACTGCAAGGAATCGAAGATTGAACTATTGAGATGCAGGGGACGCGTGGTTCGCAAGGGCCTGGTGGCTGCCCTCCTTGTCTTTGTCCTCCGATCGATGGTTCTTTGTGGTTGAACGTGCACGAATTCATCTGGGGCCAAAGTGTTGATCATTCAACTAGCCATTGGGATTTGCTTTGCATTCGATTCCCCGACAAAGTCCTAAGGTCTCTCAAAAGTCGTTCAGGCAAGTTTTTGTAACCCAACCCTGTTGGGACTAGGGTTTTCGTTCCTCAGACAACCTCATACCAGTTGAACGATCTCAGAGAGGAACAGAAAGATGGAGTTCTGGATGACTACAGTGGTGCTCGATCCACATATCGCGTGGGGGAAGCGGTACCCCTTGCCACTGCACATGACTTTCATCAGTCATTATCTAGAGAACTTACTAGTAATCAAGGCTTCTCATAGCCGAAAATCCTATCTTTTCGACTATTGCAACTTTTTTTTATCCAGTCTAGGCGGCGGTGACTTCAAACGAGCGACCATTGCGATCAATTTCATCGGAAAAGAAACGTGTACCAGATTTCCATCAGCCTAACAGAGCCATTAAATGGGTTTTCCGCGTAACACAAGACTACTTGAGGTTGTGAGCTCACAAAATCGATAACACAATCGCTTGAGTTTTTTAGACCCCGCTGAGGTCAGTAATCGTCTTGACCCCACGCATAAAAAAGGCCCAGCAAATTCGACCCTTTTCAATATTTTTTTTGTAATCACGAGGATAGCAATATTCCGAAATGAAACAAATCATTTTTCACACAATAACAAAAAAAAACAATAGAATGATGGCAAAGAAAAAAAATCGGAAGTGTCGGTTTGCACCCGGAAGTCCTGCCGTCACACTCTTTTGTGTTTACAGTATGCCCGAAAATGTCGAAAACAGATCTTTGTATGTAATTACGATCGGAACCGTCGTATGCACGTGGCGATCGCTTTATTTCTTTGTGTCGGAAGAAAAGGTACACAGAAAATTGGTGTTAAATTGGGTCACAGCGCAACGATGGCACATTTATCGCAGTTCAATCAATGACCAATCAATTTGGTGGCTAGATGATCTAATGAGCTGCAAACACTGGTTGCCAGAGTAGCAATAGGTAGTCTTTGTCCTCCAATCAATGGCTCTTTGTGGGCGGACTTGCCCGGGTTCATCTGAGGCTATACACTGTTTAGCATTCAGCTGACCATTGAAATGTGCCTTTGGGCTTCTTTCCGAAATCTTTAAGAAGCTTAAAAGCCATCCAAGCCGTGTGACAAACACACTAAACAGGGCCATATTGGTTCTCTTTCCAGAGATTGGAGTCGTGTGATTTCTACAGTTGAGGTTGCGCAAGATTGTGCGTGGGTGCGAGATGATGATGATGAGGGTGAGAAGTGGGGTCGAACGAAGATCAGTAGCGCCAGCAAGAAATAGCCTCAGACTTTTTTGTCATGCTGAAAAACTGGGCTAAATTAATTAAAACTGCTCTCAAATAATTAGATTGAATCAGGCTTACGAAATGGAGTGTTCTCTGATCCTCAGCAGGAATGGGTCGGAAAATATGTATAAGTCAAAATCGGGGCTGGGACAATATCTTGATAGGTTGTGGTGGCTCTATGATATCAGACGAAAAAATTTCTCAAAAATATTCGGTGCGCTACTCCTGACAGCCTTTATTATGTCATGGACGCAGAAAACAATGACCCTGATTCTGTGGCTTTTTCGACGAGACGTTCGATGTCCGTTCGTCTTTAAGTTGAGCGTAAAACCGTTTAAACGCAATTGCTCAATGTGACCGGATCTGGAATCTGTTTGTCGACGACCGTTTCACGGTACAGTGCCGTCGCGGTCGTCGGGTGCTCTCCTCGGGTTGTAGATCAGAGTGTTTGTGGTGAAGACGTTAACGAGATGATCCGTGACAAATGTCTCTATTTATTTCAGCTGTCTCGCAGCCCATGTTGGGCGGTTCATTCGGGCTGGCACCGACCCCTCCGCCCATCAATGACCAGGTGGGCACAATCGTTCTTCTTCTCGTTGTGGTCGTGTCGTCGTGTCGTGTCGTCATCGCGTCTCTCCCCAACATCACCTTTTTATTGCATCTGGGGCGACTTGATCGCCTCCTTTGTGCGTGTGTGTGTCACTGTCATTTACGATCTGCTCTGATTCTTCCTTTTTTATCGTCTACATTTTATTACTCCTTCCTTGAGCCCGCTTGTTTATTGCCTTGCTGGAGCAAATACAAAAAAATGGATCTATTCACCTAGCGCAGGAAAGAATCATGCTCAACCCCAAGACAAACTCTCACAGCACGCCATTTGGGACCTCCCAGTTACCCAAATCCCCCTTCCACTTCGGGCCAATCGATCCGATTATCACGGAGTAGGGACGAACGGCGTGTGCCGGCGTGATCTGTCGCAGCGACTGACCTCGCGCCACCGGGCGCGATGGGGCGCACGTTCGCCGCGGTTCGCGTCGGTGCCAGGCGCGTGGCCGCGACAAACATTTCGTGGACCTCAAATCGGCGGCCCATCGCGCGCGATCCTATCGCTCCTCGCCACGTGTACTCGGATCCGTCGAACACCGTCCCTCTTGCTGACGTGATGATCCCGAAGGTTTTACTCGAAAATGTAAAATTTCCGAACTTTTATGCTTGTTTCCGCGCGTTTGCCCGCTTGCGCAGTGCCTGGCGCGAGCGGTTGCCGATGTGGTGGAACATGAGTGAAGTTCTATGCCTCATCACCATTTTTTGATTCTATAATTGTCCGAACAACAGCAAAAGTGCGACCGTAGATCCGCAAGTTGTTGCCCTTTTTGTTTTGCTCGGCGAAGTGTATCTGGAATTTTTTGTCCTTTCAGTGATCACAAATCTTGGCAAAGAAGCTATTTTGCTCAGTTATTCACACTTAAAATCAGATGTTCTCCTTGTTCCCTTAGCTATCACGGGATTGTATTTTGTTAGCCCTTAAGCCTCATTCAGTTCCTGTTAGTCAGAAGTTTGTAGACTTCCAAGTGTTTGTGCCGAGCAATTTTCGCGACGTATTTTCTATTAGAGCCAAAGTTGTAACAACTTTCACAGTGGATTTTCGCATACTTGTAGACAATTCTCCCGATCTTTGAGGCAGAGAGATCAAAATTTCATTCAGGTTTTCGGTTGTGTTTGCTTGGAGATCAGTAAGGAGACTTCGAAGCTTTTTCCTTTTTCTGGACATGATTAAACATGCTTCAGTCATGACTCCTCTACATTTCGGATACCTTTTGGTGTTTTGAAGCTCAACCTCGCCTTCCTTCTTCAACAGTGTCCTAACATCTCGTGTAAACGTAGAATCGAAAATTTTCCGTGAAAAGAACAAAATCGTGCATTGATCTACAGTGATAATCTCGACATATGTGGGAGACTCAATATGTAGTTAAGAAAGAGAAGGTTAAAAATGTCTTTCCCTTTTACCACTAGACCATTGGTGAGCAGTTCCTTCCAGGGTGTTGATAAGCGCCGAGCTTCGAGACTAAATTGGCTGTGCTGCTGCGAAACTCCCCAGGGTGCAGGTTGAATATCGCTCATGTATTTCTTTCCGAGCCTCGATACTTCTGGTGGAGGGAACCCTCCTCGTCTATTTGTTCTACTTCTTGTCAGTCAGTGTTCACGGCTGGTTTTCAATTCTATTTTTTTGACGCCGTTGGATTTTCAGGTGGTGAAGTGTCCGCTGTGCCAGGAGCCGTTCCGCGAACCGAAGGTCCTCGCGTGCTTCCACTCATTCTGCAAGGCTTGTCTCGAACGACAGATTGACTCTGCTGAACGCATTGTTTGCCCGCAGTGCCACATGGAGACACAACTAAGGTACAGTTCAACTATAGCAGTTACCTTTTTGTGAATTTACAGTTGGAACCCGTTTTGTTTGATTATTTTAATTTTTCACGAAACATTTTCATTCTTCAGCGTACAACTCGGCCTTGACTCCCTCCTCTCCGACTATGGACTTGAGGCAGTCCTATCTCGCCCTAACATAATTGATGACAAAGGATTGCTTTTTGGCTCTCCTAGTTCCACTTCATCATCTCCTCCCCTTTCTGACTCACCATGTGATCAGGTACCACTTCACCGTTATTCTTTCTTGTTGATAACTCTAGGTATTTTAGTCCAACATAAAGTTTGAAAATGTTAGTGCGGGAAGGTGTCCCGTTTCTTGGGTCCTATTCTACTTTTTACTGAATCTTTGAGGAATTGACTCATTTCAGAATTCTAACACAACCAACCGCTCGGCTTGTACTGGATGCAAGTCTGGTGAGCGTGCATCCCATTACTGTCAAGAGTGTACTCACTATCTTTGCACCAACTGCACAATGGCTCATCAATACATGCACTGCTTTGAGGGACACCGCGTCGAACCAATTTGCCAGGTTCAGGTTCGCTACTCTCTCGAGGTTGTTAGAATTAGTAGTGTTGCTGTTTATTCATTTTTTCATTTGGTTTCGTATCGTTATGGTCAATGCTTCAGCCGTCGATGCCACCGTCTAGTGCTGCTTCGGCGCACGAGCGATCTTGTAAATGCTTGCAACATCGTGCTCAGCCGTTGCGCTTCTTCTGCCTAACATGTAACTTGGCGATTTGCCGCGAATGCACCCTGGTCGAACACGCCCAACCTGCGCATCAGTACGAACCCATCACTGAGGTAATCTATGGGGAATTTCGCTATAATTTTCTTATTATTATTCGCATTAAAACGTGTTCCTGCACGTGTTGCAATCAATCCATTTTATTTTTGTCTAGAGATTTGAAAACCTGTTTTGGCTTCTGCAAAATCCGTGTGCCTTTGTAGGTTGCCGACAAACAACTCAGTACGATGGAGATGCTGGTGAATGAAGCGCGCAATAAGCACATGGATCTCTTGGAGATGTTCAAACAGGTCAGCTTACGCCACGGAATCACGTTTATTCATGTCTTCGATTATCTTTCCGAATATCTATATTTTGTATTCAACGCTTTGTACTCTTTAGGTTGACGCATCTCAACAACGATTAAGTGCTAGTCTAAGCCGAGCTCACTCACAGCTGGACGAAAACGTCAATGCTTTGGTGCGTATCATTGATGAGGCGCGTAAGTCTGCAGCCAAGGAAATCGATACTGCGTTCTCTGCCAAACAGGTAACGTTCGCCCTCATTCGTACTTCGAAAGGGTGCTTTCATAAGCTTCTGATTTGCTTACGGTCATGCGCAATGGAAAGCAGTCCTTGAGAATTTCTAGAAAGTTTAATTGTAATTAGAAGAGATTGCAGGGCACGGATCATAAATGCTGTTGTATCACATAGGTACTATGGCTTGGGCGTTCTTAAATGGGGTTCGCATGATACTTGAACTGCCCGGGTTGTTGCTACTCCTAGAGCTCAATTTGGCACCGCTTCCATGGTTAACCTGATAAGGTTATGCGAAAAGTTGAGGAAACTCTCAAGAGGTACTTAATTGGAAACAAAACGAGCAGGGCACAACGAACAGAGCTTATGCTTAAGTCACCTTCAGGACTTTGCTTTCATTTCCAAGGCCATAGGTTAATCGGGAGAGAACAAACTCCTTATTTTTAATGGGGTATTTTCTTACTTTCAGCTTATTTGTATTAATACACACATACACGATTTACAAATACATCGTTTCTTGGGCAATTCTTGAAGAAAAAAATAAAAACCTTGGAATGTCGGATGGATCTTCATCCCCAAAAGGGAATGGCACGTACACACACGATCCATTGTTGAGACTGGTTCTCTTATTTGGTCGGGTCGTGGTATATTTCTCGGAAATTTTCATCTTCATTTTGCATAGGTATACTCCACACCTATCAATAATGTGCGCCGTGCGTTGGTGACCTCGAGAGAATAGAACAGAATGGATGTTCCCATTGTGTTTGCTTTCTGCACCTGTCATACGGGACGCGCATGCTGGTCCCTCAAATGGCTGACCGATTGATTCCCCATAGTCGCTTGGGCTAGCTTTCGTTTCTCAGCGTGGTGCCATTCTAGTAGCAATACAAGTCGAAGTGAACATTTGAGGAGTTTGTGGGTTTTTGTCTCATCACCACCACAAGAAACTATTTTTGTTGAAAAAAAAACTTGACCCTATGAGTTTAAATAAAAAGTGGAACCAGTAGCTGGCTTTATCTAAACCTTTTAGATACAACTAACCATGGTGGATAAACGTATTCAACAAATGACTGAAAAACTCAGCCAAACGATCGACTTCACCACGAGGCTTGTAAAGTATGCGTCGCCTACCGAAGTTATGGTGTTCAAACAGCTTCTTGATACCAGGCTCCACCTGTTCCTCGCTTTCAATCCTGATGTGAGTGAGAAGATTCAAGAAAACATCAAACAGGTTTTTGAATTTTGGCTTGTTTAGGCCTCGAATGCTCTCGGGTCATCATGTGAACTGGAGCTTCCTCCCCTGAACCTCACGAATGCACGTCAAGCCATTCAAGGCTTATTCGGACAAGTTCGTGGTGGAGCAGCTGATTGGAGCGGACAAGCTAGTTCACAGACAGGAATGCCCCCAACTCCCATCGGAAGACCACCGAGCAGACAGGTTTGTACGGGATACGTGTTGAATATGATTCAGGCATAATTATTTTACGTTATGATAGGTGGCTAAAGAATTAATTGCTTATGATTTAAGCTCGTGCGCTCCCCGCCCCAAGCTCACAGTGTTCCCCTTGCGCCAAGCGTGTTCTCTGATTCTAACAACTTCCTTCGTCCGAGAAATGAATTTGGTGGTTCTAGCCAGTCTCTCGGAAATTTCGCCAGCGACGTTTCTTCCTCGCTAGTGGGTAGTTTTCTTTTTTGGAAGTTTTAATAACGTTTCAGAATTTAGGGCCAAATACCGTCTCAGTAAAATTGAGTTTTCGATGTTCCCAGCAAAAGAAGTGCTATTGCATATGCTTCTCAGCGTCTTTTATCTTTACCCCCGCTTTGCTACCATTTTACGATGACTTCGACTTCATTGTATCTTTCGGATCACCAACGCATCGATGGTTGAGAAGGCACAATCTTGGCGCTTTTCATACTTGAGCTTAAGCTAGTAGACCTACTTTTTCAAAGCTTATTTATTTAGATGCTGCAATAATGCTCAGGCTGTTGCTTTGCTTAGTTCTGGTCTTATTGTAATGCAAATATTAAGCCATTTTTGAGATACTCATGGTTTCTCATTTCAGGATGCATGTGGGTTACCGGTCTACAACCATTATGACAAATGGTCGATCGGAGTAGAGCCCAGCCTCGGTATGCTTGAGCCTGGAAATATCGAGGACGAAAAAATGGGCCCACTGTATCCACCCAGGTAGATTTTTGAATTCGTTTTCATTTTCAAGTTTAGTGATGAAGCTGCTTGTTTTATTATACAAATTTGTGCTCTTCAAAAATATAGGTCCGTATATTTGTGGGTAAAATACTGCTCAAATGTGTTTACTTTAAGTCGATGACTCTCATTTTATAACGATTTGGTTTCTGACTAATTATTGTAGCGCACCTACGAGTGCATAGTAATAAATAAATAAATAAACAACAATAGCATTAGTCACGTTGATTTTCTTGCACCTGCAATTGTCATTAAGGCAGGTTCCTAAATTTTCCATGTCGATCAGTTTTTCGACGATTTTAGACGACACTAGATCTAGCTAGAATGGTTGAAACCACAATAAAAAGTTAATCCTATAAGTCTAATACTAAGGCAAGAGCTTCTTTGCTTGCCAAACTTGTTTAGATGATAAATAATAAATACGCGTGTACAGGTGTATACCTTGGGGTAAGATGGCCACGTTGTCATTTTTAAACTTCATTACTTTCAGCCGATCTCAGATAAGTCGTCAGAAGATGATTTATCATTGCAAGTTCGGCGAGTTCGGTGTCATGGAGGGTCAATTCACCGAGCCTTCCGGTGTAGCCGTCAATGCCCAGGGTGACATTGTTGTTGCTGACACGAACAACCACCGCATTCAGGTTAACTATAGTATATACATACATTTTTTGCTTTTTCCTTGCTTTTTTTAAACTGCGATAAGATTTCGTTGGTTCAGGTGTTCGACAAAGAGGGGCGGTTTAAGTTCCAGTTTGGTGAATGCGGCAAACGGGATGGGCAATTGTTATATCCTAACAGGTCTGTTGAGCACTAGCTTGTCTTTCTTTTATATTTCTTTTTTGTTTTTGCATATTTGTTTCTGGAATTTTCCAGTTAACTTTATTAATTCTTGTAAGAGCAATTAGGGAAAGCAAGAATTGCTATGAACACAACGTTTTGCAGAGTGGCGGTGAACAAAATGACCGGCGATTTTGTTGTAACTGAGCGATCTCCAACACACCAAATACAGGTGTATAACCAATACGGCCAGTTTTTACGGAAATTCGGAGCCAACATTCTTCAACATCCCCGTGGTGTTTGTGTTGACACCAAGGGCCGGATCATCGTTGTGGAGTGCAAGGTGCGTTAACATCGATAGCTCAAGTTTTGTGCTGAACCTGCTGTATGCTTTCACTTTTTTATTTCATATTTTTGAAAGGCTTGAGTTAAGGTGATGCGAGTGATCATTTTCGACATGTTCGGAAACATCCTGCAGAAGTTCAGCTGCTCGCGCTACCTCGAGTTCCCTAATGGAGTGTGTACAAATGATAAGAACGAGATCCTCATTTCCGACAATCGTGCTCATTGCATCAAGGTTTGTATTTGTTCATGGAGTAGATTTTTCGTTATTGTAACTGCATGCTAATGAAATGTTTCAGGTGTTCTCCTACGAGGGACAGTTCCTCCGTCAGGTTGGGGGCGAAGGGATTACCAATTATCCAATTCGGTGTGGCCATCAATGCAATGGGTGACGTCGTTGTGGCTGATAATCATAACAATTTCAATCTCACTGTGTTTTCTCAGGTAGGCCTACCTATATGCGTTCAAGCATTATTAATTATTAACCGTACGCGTCTTCTCGATTCACTATTCAAATTCGAGCATTTATGTTAAGAAAGTAATATGTTTAGGATGGCGCTATGATCGGTGCTCTTGAATCCAAAGTCAAGCACGCCCAGTGCTTCGATGTGGCGTTGGTGGACGAAACCAGTGTTGTTTTGGCATCAAAAGACTACCGCCTCTACCTGTATCGTTTTCAACGCAGTGCTGGTGGTAATCAGCAGTAGACTATCTCATGGTACCATCGCTTGGACAGTAGCTGGTGCAGGTCTCTGGCTTTTATATTTCATCATCACCTGTTGTGGTTTTACGAAACTATCGACGACTAACCATTTCTGCAAATGGAATGTCTGTTGCTGTTATGGCTTGCACGTAGTCTTCTGTTAGAGAGTGCGTCAGGCTGCACATTGTTGAGTCCCTCATCATTACCTAATTCGACTTCCCGATGTCCCTGTTGTTTGTCATTTTGTTATAAGTTTCTTGGTTGGTTCTTAGCTCTTTTGTAATTCAATTGTGTTTAAGTGTTTTGACTGTGTGTGCGTGGTAGGACAACCAAGGTCGCGTACTGAATAGTCGAAGAGGAAGTGCTTTTCGTGGTATGTGTGTCTCCTCAACGTGAGAAAATGGACCATGTAGGATGAGCAGTCGATCAATCGTAGCTGAGTCTTTGTTCCCACGAGTAGTGCGTATGTCTCCACGTGACGATCGTTTGGTCAGAGCTTTTCCCTTCCGAACGCTTCGCTACCGCCCCGGTTTTAAATGTCGGTATAAGTTTTATCCATTTGTTATCGGCGGGGGCCTCACCCCCGCTCTCTCTGTTAAGCACTTGTAAAATGCACATATACATACTTTTATTTATTTGAATGTTGTTTTGTAATAATTGTAAGATAGGCGCGCTTGGGTGCTTAGGCGCGGCGGGCGTTGAGCGTCCCCCGATTGTTGCTCTTCTTCTCTCTGTTTTGGTTATATTGTTAGTGCGCAACTGCCGGCCAGTAAGTGATACCGATTAGATATGTCGGCGCTGGCGGAAACTACTAATCCCCCGTATGTTGCTGCGTACCTTATCGTTATCTACCCGTTCTTAGATTTTCTGTTTATGAGTTTCGATAAATTGTTTTTGTTTCGTGTCTTTTTTCATGAACACTTATCAGAGCTAATCTGATACATAAAACATGACTACTGCTGCTGTCCTATCACAGCTTTGGTGGAAAAGTGTTTATTATGTGAAAGCGATACAGACCCCAACAAATTGATGGGCAATTTGACAGGCACTCGTTTCCATGTCGAAGGGTGCACGCAAAACAGCAATGTTAACTACTCTTTCATCTACAAAGGTGAACCGACGGTAATGAAATGAGAATCTATGTTGCTCTATGAGCAGCTCTTGTGTGAGATGACTTTGGACAACGGCTAAAAGTGAAAACACATGTGCGTACGCAATAAAGGGGATTGCAAAGGAAGGGGAGTTGCGAACGTTACAACCCATATTGATTGGATAAACTTCTGTGAACGGTGTATTCCAGCATTCCCGAGTTGTCCTTGGATATGGTTATCTCTCAAGTAAAATCGAGCCGAACGGCACATTCTGGTAGAAAAAAATTAGCTTCCTAACCGAGTACCATGAATCAGGCGGGGGATCTCATGTGTTGAGACTAAAAAAGAAAATGCTTTGGGAAAACTAGGAGGGGCAAGTAACTATGTGTAGGTACCTAGATGATCTGACTGATCATGCGAGCGAGCTTCAGCATTGGTCAAATAACACATTGCCGACAGCGCGTTTCACGCATACTCAACTTGTTCGAAGGGTTTTTGTTTTCATTTTAGAGATAAATTTTTGATATACCATCGTTATGCTTCGGTTTAGCAAAGTTCTCCAAAAACCTCTCAATTCGACTTCTCAACAACTTGGACTTTATTCCTAACTAAAAAAACAAATAACAGTTTAGTTATTCAGCCTAGGCAAGACCCTTTTTCGAAGCGGTGCATACATTAAAAAACTGCACGTGCTAAAGTAACTGCAGCAGCGAAAAGTTAGAGCGCTAGAATTACACAGAAGAACCCTCCAAGAAAGAAGTAAAATTGAGAATGACAATTGAACGTTTGGCCGAGATGTTGTCTACGATAAATTGACAAACTGTAGGAAGTTTCACTATTAGTAAGTGGACAGAATGTGTCCCTCAATAATAAGGAGAAGCGCAAGATGCCGTCAAATGCAGCCCAGCATACACTACCACCCACTGACGGCGGCCTTGCATAGGTAAACGATAGCTGTAAATGATAGTTGTAATTAGTGACAACAGATAGGATACAACTGCAACCGGCTAATGTTTCATTGGCAGAAAACATTTACATATTGTTGAGGCCGTCGTCACTTGTGGTGTGGGGTCTGCACTTGACTAGCATCAAGTTTCGGAAGTGGGAGGATACCTATCTATTTTGTGTGTTTTCGACACATCTTCGATTCCATCCATTTCATATCCCTGATATAGAGATTTACTAAACCGCAACATCTGTTAAAATGTCACTTTGTGTGCGTGGTGTTTTACTTTATCTAATACTTACTTTAACACGTTGGCGACGATGTCGGTCAATGCTGACCGACAGGCAGTCTGTCACATGGGACGATGTCGGTCAATGGTGACCGACAGCTTGAAAGTAAGCAAACTTAGATGGAACCCGCGACTTTTCTATTTCAACGTTTACTTCAGTGTCCTAACTTACTACACTTGTCTGCGAATTATGATCTTTCTAATTCGCTGGGAGTTTTATTATGACCAGATTAGTCCCCCGTCAACCGCCGGGACCTTCCTTTCCTGCGCAAGCTTTCTATCCTCCGCTATGGTCCCTTCCTCCTGTGACACCAACACCTCCTGGAAGTGACGCGTATGCAACACAATGGTGTTTCATACAGTAGAAGGGACACAATCATGATATGACGGTAGATTTTTCGCTTCCCTTCCTCATCCTCCCTTCCTCTCTCCACTGCCCTCCAGCTGCCACTGCAGCACCATGTGGAATGAACGGAAGTGTGCTAAGCAGGTGTTTATATAGCCCTAAGAGTGTTATCACAACTATCCTGCTACAAAACATTGATATCTCAAATCCTGTAAGCTACCCGATTTGTTAGCGGTTTGTTTATCCCATGAGCTTCCTTCTCACTCACTTCATTTTGCGGACGGACACACATACACATACACACACACACACACACACTCACACACACACATACAGATACACAAACCGACACACAAAGTTAGCGCTTTATATAATAGAAGGATATAGTTATCAGTGGCAGAAACGCGCTGTCAATTGAATCACAACCACAAAGTTCCCACCGTCAGCAAACTGGAAATCTCACTAAAATTGTTCATATCGACATTTACTAATTAGGTCACCGTCAGTAGAATGTCCATTTCTAGCCTTAGGTTCCCATGATGGTCAAGTAGGCTCAGTCTTACTCATAGGCAGGACAAAAGTACCTATCCAGTCCATCAACTGCCAAATATTTCACAAACAGGTTTTTTGACCTTGAAATGACTCGTTTAAATCACTTATTCGATCATGAAGAACAAGATAACAGTCAAACAAAAGCTCATTCCGTCAGGTACGCAAAGTTTTTTGCGTCATTCTTGAGTGAAAAATTCGTAGAAGATTTCAGATGTGATCAGGATACCAGTACCATCTAAAGGAAAGCTCATATTAATAATAAAAATGAAGAATGCGTGAAATTGCGCCTTCAGAACCTATTCTAACCTGAGGTTTGAAAATGCCAGGCGATGTCACTGAAATTTCACCCAGCATTCAGTAGTAACAACTTTTCCTTGTTTCTAAACGTGTCTGGAGTACTCTAGTCAAAGGCATTTTGTGCATTTCGAGATTTTACAGAGCTACAAAATAAGTTTTGCCCTGTTGTTACCGGCGCTTTGCATGCAAAAAACGCCTCGTCCCATGCGCGCGACAAGGAAAAAATCGCTCGTCGTCAACGTGTTAATCACCGCCTTCACGAATGTTTATACTTTCGAGCATCTAAAAACGCGCCTTGTTGGACCGGTGGAGGATATGTGTACCGCGCATAATGCGGTCGTAAAATCGCGTTGGTCCCACATGTTTGAAAACATTGCAACTCGCAGTCGTCAATGTGTTCAGCAGTGTTTTTTATACTTCGACGAAACTGCATAATCGCATCGTATTGCACATATGCGCAACACAACGTCGGAGTCTCAGAAGAACCTTTTACAGCTTTATGAGGTCCCGCTCAAGGTTTAGGGATGCAGGTGGTAACGAGCGTTTCTGCTCCATTACGGCCTGAACGCAGTATTCACTAGACTTCTTTGCTGTTGATTGAAATGAAACTCTTCCAAAAGGCTTTATTTGACGACGTTTCGGGCCGTAAGCCCTTCTTCAGGTCTATAACATCATCCATACATTACGTTCTAACATAAAAGAGTGAATCAATACAACATGATATACGAAGCTGACTAACCAATTACAAAAAAGCGAAATTCCGGGTTGAGGGCAGGGTCTGTCCTATCGTTGTTACTTTTCGAAAATTTTTACGACCCCCCTCCCCCAACGTGGATTTGATACGACCCCCTTTTCCTACCTCCACCATCTCCATCTTCCATCAAAACCCCGCCCACTTTTTCCTCCAAAAATGCCGTCGAGCGGGGGGGGGGGGGGGGGGGGGGGTATATAGTCACTCTGAAACGGTAAATATCTCCGAAAATTTCCTTCTATTTCCACCATTTCAACCCATTTTCTACCTATACTCCCACCACTTCCTTTTCTAGGCGGAGTATATACGCGCGCTGAAACGGAGCGACTAAAGTGGATACGACCCCCCCTCCTACAAACTCAACCAGGTACGACCCCCCGTTGTTACTCGTAACAACGTAGGGTTGACCCTGGTTGAGGGGAGCGGATTGATCCCGCTGAGTTCGTGAATCGCTGTAAGAATGATGGGATAAAGATGTGGAGGAAAACGTGAATGGGGACCAACCTCTCCTGCTACTCACTCGGAAAAAATGGAGCAGCCAGATAGAGGGTGATCATGGTAAAGGCTTAAGCAGCAGTGAATACTGCAGCACCGTATTCACTGCTGCACAATTGGTGCTGCATAAAAGCTCAGATTGCAAAAAAAGGATGAGTTCGACAATCACTGTGTGGCATTTACCAGACACCTGGGCGCAGGATCAACCATGCGTTCGCACTACTCGAACGAGAGGGT